AGAGAGAGAGTCAGGAGAAGAGACTAGGTAGCACTCGGTGAAATGACTCTGCAACTGAAGCGCTAGATTTTGCAGGTGGGTTTGGCTGCTGAGTCGATAATCAATTGGGACGAACATCAATACCATGTAACTAAGTACAGGTAATGTCAGTTACATTGCGCATTCAAGCTCTCTCTCTCTATCTCTCTCTCTTTCTCTTTCTCAATCTATTATGTCACCTATTCCAAGCATGGTGCTTCCCCATAACATTTCTATTACAGTTTTGATCACAACTATTAAATGTTTTCTCATGAAGGCACACAATAATATTTCTGTATTTATATTTGTTTCATTCATAACATTTCCATATCAAGTTTTCATCAAACAAAATAAAAAATCTTACAAACTAACACCACGATATTTCCATTTTTGTACCAATTTTTTGGGTAAATAGTACCTATATGTCTCGAGCGAATTTTATCATCTTGCAAAACAAATTATGTTTTCTCACGGAGTAATACAACAATTTATTCTATCTTTGAACTATTCACTTTATTGGTAAATCAAATTTCCTTGTCAATTTTTGTCCTGCTTCTTTCAACCCCAGATTAATTTGAAACCGGGGGATGTTATGAAAAACAACAGACTGTGAAATGCATACCTTTTCATTTTTCTTAAACCACGGCAGCAATATGTCATGTCTCACCTTACATGCAACCTATAAATCATCTTGAAAATTTCATTACGTAGGAGGACAGAATTATGTTGATAATGTGATAATGTGATGTTTTGAAGAGGGTTACTTTCTCTCTTTCCAGCTTGATGTATACATTTACATCTCTGTGCCCGACATCTATATATTCTTTTATTCTAGTTGTCTACTTTTGTAAAACAAAGTTTAAAACTTTCCTGTCTCTCCTAATCAAATCCCTCCCCCTTCTCCCCCCCCCCCCCTCTTTCTCTCTCTACCCCCTCTCCCATTGCCCCACTCTTCATGCTGAAAGTTCTATATTCTGTATTCTAAGATCATCCTATTTCAGTATTCTTTAACCTAAAATCTGAGACAATTCCCCAAGACTTGAATATGAAAAGATAAAGCAGGTAAACTGATCCACAATGCAGAGATTGTGGGCGGATCATCAATACACTTCTTATGTAGATCATAATAGCATGGCACCCAGAAGTCTGATCGGAAAAGAAGATTAATCACATATACTGCAGTTTCATGAAACATTTGTTACTTGTTTGCAGAATTTGTAAACTACACCTCAATATTTGATTCAAGGAACAAGACAAATAGGGCTGGGAGGAATATCTGAGGTATATCGTCTGTGGTAAACAGTCATGACAGTTTTTAATCTCTGAAAATTAAAAAAAAATTAAAAGTTCAAAGCATAAAAGGATGCCTTTGTATTTTGATCGATGAATAATAGTTAAGGTGTCTCCGAAACTAGGGAAATATATTTCCTTGCTTTCAGCCATTGCCCAATTATTGGCCTAAATTTTTATGAATAAAACCTACCCCAGGCAAGGAGTGATTCACTTCCTCGGTATGAATGGTCTCTTGATATCAATCTCATAATCTCTTAGTCCCTATTCACACAAAAATACCAAATATTTTGTCAAAATACAACAGTCAGCAATATCATGAAAGGTTTGCTGACCAATTACTCAAGACTTTGGGATTTATGTTATTACATACTCTTTGAAAAAGTGAAAAAATATTTACCCCAAAAATTGTTTATTGCCATTTCTACAAAGACAGTCTTTCATAAGATAGGGAGGCCTCAAACATACCCAGAAGGTGTATTACAGCCACAAATTGAAACCACTTTTAGCGGCTTAGCAAGAAACACGAACACAGATTCGCACCAAGGTACAAATTAAATTAATTTCCCAGAATTTACATAAAATACACCTAATCAACACGCCTAAAATTGTGATAGAACGGAAAATAATTTGGAGCAGGCATATCAAAGACGTAGCCCCAAACTTCTTTGATGGATTACCCTCCGATAAAGTCAATTTGAGAATATGATGAAAACTATTCAGCATCCCAAAATAATCTCTGTTATTACTGCAAAATAACTATATTGAGAATGGATACTTTGTTCAGGATACTTAGTCATCCAGTCAGGGTTTCCGTCTTAAGGAATACATGCGGATGTCAGAGTTGGTTTAACAAACACTTCAGACTACCAATAATGATCAATAAATCCAATACTCTAGCTCTACCACACTCTATGGTTGTGACTCAGACTGGGTCTAGCTAAGACTTCAAGAAAGCTGTCTCTGATTGAGCAAATGGGTAACTCTGTTCCTACAGCCTAAGCTTTATGTCCGGTAGCACAATATGAAGGCTGATGTGCCTGTGGGTGATATACAGAACAGTACTTTGAATGCCAATGGGAAAAGACCTGCAATGATTGTCTAAGAGCATGAGAGAAATTGAAAAGAGAAGAGCCACTGGTTAGAGGGTACAAGGGAAGTCCCGCCCTAGCTTTGGTCGTCATTTCTTTGTTGGTTTAGATTTGCTGGGGGTTATAATAATTGTATTACCTCTCCATATAACCGAGATTGAATGGAAAAGTGTTTGCAGACTACACTCGTACTGTTATTGAGCTTCATTGAAACCAAGTGGCAAATATGCACTCATTCTGGGACCAATCTTATTCAATTGCTAAAAGGCAGACAGTAGCCTACTGCCGCCTAAAACGAAGAAATTATGTATGGTGGCTGGGAGAAGGAGTGGAGCGCTGATCTTCGTTTTGTATGCTCAAGCTAAAAGCCTTTGAACCACAGTCAGCAGAACGACGTGTTCTTTTCTTTCATCCCTTGTTCAAACTGTGGCTGCACTAATTGATGGGTGTACAAGGCGACGAGTATTGACAGGGCTAGCCGTGATCGTGTGTGTGAATGAAGTTTGTTTTGTAGTGTTCTGCCTCCTGAGATCCCAGGGTTTCCACTAATTCTGCGCTCTTGCAGGATGTTTCTCCACCGTCCGTTTCCATCGAAGCAGGATGTGGACTTTTAGCTTTTAAAGGGGTTCTCTACATCCATCTCCTTTTTTCAGAACAAAGAGTTTTCAGTTTTGTCTTCTTGTCCGCAATACAAAAATTAATGACTCTGACCACCCAATGGAGGTAATGCTCTTGAGAAAAAAAAGAAAAAAATCTTTTTGGAAAAAAAGTCTTACACACTTCATAAAAAGGGAATGATGTCATTCAAATGCTCTATATCAATCATACCACTCCACTCAAGCAATGGACAAAGGAGATAAAATCAAAGTAACCATGGCCCAATTGTGTCTTTCTGCTGCGGCCTACAGAAAGAAAGAAAAGACTCAATGACCATCCCGTCATTGGTAGAAATGATGGATGGGGGTGACTCATGGATATAAAACTGACATCAAAGAACTTCTTTCAAATATAATGAATTACTCTCTCTCACCACAAGGAATTCCCTCGACTAATGACAAGGATTCTCCCAATATCCACTTTTCTTCATCCTCATCCAGGGCTTCCACTATTTTTATTCCAATTTAATTTATTTGAAATGTCTCAACTGGTATTTATATAATCATGAGAGAGATTAAAATTGATGAGCCTAAGCCACATACCAATCAAATATTTCATTCGTAATTTTTTTCTTCTTTTTATGGTGGTGGTGGTGGGGGGGGGGGGGGGGGGGGGTGGCGAAGACAGACACCGCAATTTTATTAGTCATCATCTTGGTCTACTGCTTAGATCTATATTTTGTTCATTTGATATTACGGGGGTCTAATTTCTACTTCTCTCAGCCCCAATTTAGATAATTTGTTGCACAATAAATGCAGAGAGTGGTTGCTTTTCCTGCCAATCTCCAAGGAGTATTCACAATTCGTCATCACTCTTTGGTCAGTGTTCAACATTTGAACCCTACTGCATAGAGCCCTATGAAATATCGACTGAACATGGTCGACTCTGATTAGACAAATCTGTCACTTAAACTGGTTGAAGATTATTTCAACTTCATGTACTGATCAATTTTAATCCTATATCACCACATTAAACTCACCTTAACTCTAAACAAGACTTACTTACATATTCAATACATTTTAAAGATAAGATGAACTTCTCTGATTTCAGTTTGATCTAGTTTGTTAATGTTACTTTGGACAGTGTTTTGCTCCTTCATTTTTGTTCATACTAAAAATACAGCTCTTTTAAACTATACACTGATCTATAAATAACTCTCTAATGGGATAATAACTGCAACATGCATGAAACATGAAAATATATGGAGAAAAAAAATGATGTCAAGATAGTGGGTTTTGAGAGGAGCGGCTTAATATATAATCCATTATTGAAAAGACGGCACTTCAACAGAATGGCAGACAAGAAGTTCACTGGCTGCCCTGGCCCACAAGCGGCATTTGAAAAATTTGTGAGTAATAAGTGAATATGTGGTCCACTCTGATAGATTGGTGCTCTGCGGCTAAAATCTGATCAGCGATTGCCATAATGGCCGATTCATTGCGTGATGGATCAAAGAAAGAACTAGAGAGTCGCTCCTCTTTCTCTTGCATTGCATGCCAATGTGACTTCCGCAGGGCGACCACTGCTTTTCATTAATATAAAGCTGATCATGTAAAATACCTGTAGACTCCACCACTATCTTGTCCTGAGTCATGTCTACTGCCTGTCAAGATAGTGGCAAGCCAAATTGAAAAAGGAGACCACAAGTTGTTGAATTCTCACACATCGTGTTCTAGCTTTTCCCTCTTGTTCTTATTTTTGTTGCATGAAGACAAGTATCCCATCTCAAAAACTGGGCCAGGGTTTTGTAATTTTACAATTGAAATGAAGGTAATGTTTTACTTTATATTTCAACAACCTACATCTTACTGTTATGTATTTTTTCAAAAAAATACTTATTTGTTCATGGAAGCTCTTTATGATTTTGAATCTTTAAATTTGTCAGAACTCTTTATAAGTTTAGAAATCCTTTTTTTGGAGATACAACTCACAAATTTATGTGAGAATGCAATTTTCAAAAACTTTTTTCTTCTGCTGGTATGGCTGAATGCTTCCATCCTGTTTCAAATACCATAAACACTATTATGTAATGGAGAAGATGGAAGCAATATTTGTAAATCACAGTTTAAAAAAAAAAATTCTATGGAGGCTTGATGGCTCAGTGTTAGAGCATTAGCATTGTAACTAGGAAGGTTCCAGATTTGAAACCCAGTCGATACGCTAGCACCCTTTGGTAAGGCATTAATTCTCATAAGGTCCCTCACAGTGGCATGAGAGCCCTGGCTGCTGACACAGCATACACAATATGCTTTCATAGCAGTCTGGTAAAAAGAAAGTATCTTACCTGTTCTCCATTGATACGATGACTGGAGTCTACCTCTGGGAAGCTGAGAGGCAGCTAGATGAATCAAGGAGAGCACCAACAGGATACACATGGACACCTCCATGCCTGTGATAGACAAGGAATCCCTCTCTTACTGCTCTCAATATCTCTCCACTGGAAAGAAAAATATGATATTAATCACTCATTTGTGGCTTCAAGAATGAAAATGAAAACGATATAATTATCATGGTTATAGTTAATATTGTTATGATTTGTATTATTCATTATTATTATAATTATCATTATAAATATTATTTTTTTATATCTAGGGTGGTTTCTTAATTTTTTCCTTTTTTTTTCTAAGAGCGTTGCAATTATCATTTCACCAGATATTACCATGTACCCTGTTATACCCCTGGGTCAAGAGAGGCAAAATGTTGGTATAAAACACTTACATTCATCTGCTAAAAGTCAATCTCAACATTTTCAACTTAATTCTAACATGCTTTTAGAAGTTTTAGAAATGTAGTTTTATGTCTAAATTTTGACTTATGACAAATTCCCTTTATCATGAATAGCCTAAATTGTGGTAAATCAAATTACAGCCATTTTAAACTGTTTAGTTCCTGTTCCTGCTAAAGTTTACCATGTAAGAACTATTTGTTTATATCTTGGCCGCTTTTCCCCTGTACTTGAGTTGGCGAAAAATCCAAATTGTATTTTAAGGAACATCCTTTCAAAATCAAATTACAGCCATTTTAACTGCTTAATTCCTGTTCCTGCTAAATAGTACAATGTAAGAAAATTATTTGTTTGTATTGTGGCTGCTTTGCCCCTGAACATGATGTTGGCAAATATTCCAACCTGTACTCCAAGGAACATGTAATTCTCACATACAGTGTGTCTGAAAAACAACTTGATACTATGTTTTCATAGCTCAAGTTTCACTTCATCTGACACATTCTAGCCACAACTGCTTGATATGATGTTATTCTTGGCCTTTATTTGACTCTCTTGCCCCGTGTTCACACTACCTGGTACAGTCAAACCTGCTTTAGTGAAACATGTACTAAAGGAACCTGTACATATAGACAGGCTTCACTGCACCATCATTCATCATACAGCTATACAAGTCTTGTATCTAGTTAAATATTAAGTAATTAAATTGTTCCTTGTCTGAACATCATATAAGGAAACACTGTGAAGAGAAATGCCTGTCTAAGTATTGTTTCGCACAAAAACTCGATAAAGAATCAGGGTCCCACCTAAGTCTGAATGTTGCGTCGTACAAAAGTTGCATAACAGGGCGGGGCTTATTGTGAGTGTACACTAATGATTGGCCAATTGTCATGTTAACTGGCCTCTTCAAAATTAATTTCTTTATACAATGTTGTTTTCTAGTCTGTATGCTCCTTTAATTATACCATCATTCTTTATACAATGTTTCTTTACAAGAGTTACGTATGAATTTCTTTTAATCTGAACAGACTATTGGTGCAAACTTTCCAAATCAGCTTTGATATTCCTAGAATTTCAATCGAATGACGTAGACCAAGAAAATCTTGACAAACATTCTTCCTGTAACAACATCACTGTTTACACAATCATTATACCAAAAGAATTATGATTGGAGATTAATTTCATTCTAGTCTGTTGTTGCTTGGGTTCATATGACACCAAAATGGTCATTTATTTTCAATCTTGCTGGGGTCAAAATAGGACGGCTAAATCTGATTAGAGGCATTCTTTTTCCTGCAGCGCACACAAACCTTCAAACAATTGCATCTAATTATCAAGTTGTTGGTTTCCCATTAGGCCCTGGTTACAATAACAAAGCTCCGGGCTAAATACGATATCATACCTTTCGGCTCGTTTGCCATGTATCCGTTTACCTGTCGCGCTCGCGTCATGGCAGCGACTTTATTGGTTTGAGTGATATAGAATACAGGAATAACAAGACGGTTTGTTGCGTTTCATGGTAGTTCCTCATAGAGTTACTCAAAATGAATTTTAGTGACAGTGTGGTGAAGAAAGCAATTTTAAGGAAAAAGGTTTTTGACATGAAATGAACCTTGCCACATTCAAGTGTCAGCTAGCAGTACCTAAAAGTGCATGAAAATTACCACATCAACTCCTCCTTGACACTCTTCCAGTAAATTCAATGCTAGTAATATCCACTCATATCATCCAAGAAGAAGCGTGGAAAAGGATCTATCATGGTACCATAAAAAAGGGTGAGCAGGAATATCGCGGTGAATAAAAACAAAAGTATTTTCAACATAATCTGCTCCTCCCCTCAAGAATGATGAAGACCTCATAAACTTCCATTCACAATGCATCAAAAAAGAAGAGGGATTGCATTATTCCTGGGATTATAGTAATGTCAAGAACATAAAATTTGTTTCTATCCTTTCTGTTTTAAATTAGTTTACATACTGTTTAGAATACTAGATTATATTATATATTTATTATATTAGAAGGATACGCTTTAATCAGATGACATGCATATTCTAACACTGCACTTGACACTTATAATACTTATAGATTATAATTTTGTTATTAATGAGATCAGAAGTGACAAAAATAAGTGAAACAGAAAAGCCTGTAGAAATTGTATTAAACAACTGAAAGGAAAGAAAGGTTGTAATTACCCAAGTTACTTACCTTTATATCAGCTACTTCTGAGGAATAAGATTAAATTTAAAAAACTGCTGCTGAAGAAATGTGGTCCAAATTGTAACAATCCTTTAGTCCAAGCTCTTTAATTCCACAGTCTGCAATATCCAAAGTATGAACTTCACATCTCAGCTAGTAAACATTTAACACTTGATCCACTCCTGTGTGATGGGCAGGGCATAGAAAGCATCTGACGCCACTATGCTTTTGCCAATTTCCTCTCCTTTAGAGCCTAGGTCATTGTCCCATGTCATTCCGTCTGCCGACCATTCTGCCAGTGTACATTCTATCCCAAGATGCCTCCGTCCAAACTTCACTTGAATAGTTCCCTCGATCGGTCTCTCCCTCACTCTATGTACCGCTTTTCCAAATCAAAGGCAACCTGGATGTAGAAAAATAAATGTTTGAAAACATGAAAGGTTTGGCGTGTGATGCCTTCAAGCATTTAATAGGAAGTATGACGAAGAAGGCAACAAATGAAGTACATTTTTTTCCAGAAAAATACCTGAGGAGTGCAGGTACTAAAGTCAAAACCTTGATCTTTATCAAAGTCTCAATAAAAGCTAATTTAAGGTGTATGAATGCCCTACCCTTACACCTGAAGCTTGCAATCAGATCATTTTAAATACCCCAAATATTTTCAATTTTACGAGTTGAGATTGAGGAATATTGCGAGGCAATATGTATTTAGGATATGCAGCGATCTGTGAAGCCAATATATAAATCATTACACCACAAAACATGTATGGGCAAAGACTCGGTGATCAATCAATCTCATATTAGGTGGAATCTCAGAGAAGAAAAGTACTTAACCCTTATTCCAATGATAAGACAGAATAAAAATCCAAGCCTCGCACAGGTGACCCGAATGACACGTACAAGACCACCACCAAAGATTTGAGCTAACTAGCTAGGCAATGAGAGAACATCAGAGAGACACCAAGATAGCAAGACTGGATTGGGTTTTAATTTGAGGCAAGCACAGAGTTGTAATTCGATTAGAGAGTTTGCTCGTAGCTGGCTGGAACAAGTGTTTCTATTCATGGGGTAGAGAGAAGAAAGAGGGAGGGCTTTCATTAGGGCATGCGTGTGTTTGATATGCATGTGGTCAAACAAAGCGTGGGCTTATGAGACCACGGACAGTGAAGACATTATGGTTTACTAGCTAGACAATTAAGGATGATATGCTTGGTTTACATCAAGATGGGGGAGTTACACAGTTTTATGCATTAATGAACGACTGGATGATTTAAATAACAATCTATGAAAAAAAAACCTATATGGCGACTAACCAAAGTCTTGCACACATCATCTTAGATTTAATTTAAAATTAACCAAGTGTTTATGAAAAGCGCCTAAATCCTAAAAATAAATTTCTTTTACCTGAAGCATCTACAAACACATTTCTACAATCTGAGGCACTTATAATCATAAGAACCTGTAAAAATGAAGAAAATTGAAAAATACACCGCAAAAATGGAAAGGGAAAAGACAGATGCTGTTTTACTTTTAATGAAATGGAAGCTTGAAATGGTATATTCTCAAATTAATTTTTTAATATTTAAGGGGGTAGGGAGCTCCTTCACCCTAAAAGACAGGCTGGCAGACACAGATATGAAACTACTCCATCAACAGTCTGCAAACTACCATCTGTAGAGTTCAGAATAAGCGCCCCTTTAGACATGAAACAGTAAACCATTATAAACCTAGACTCATATGAACTAAGCATATCATGCTTCACATCTTTTTTTCATTCTAAAACACAAAAATCATATGTTGAGGTTCCATCGTTACCCACATTTTCCTTTTTTACCCCTCCCCTACCACTCCCAACCAACAAAGGCACTTCATTCATTCATTTACACAAAGATTTTGCTGTAATGGTTATCTAAGGCAGTTTACAGCATCAGGTCTGAATGGGACCGAAGCTTGTCTAGCTTTTCAGACTGGCACATACATCCCCATTCACAAGCACCTGCCTTCATCAACCTATCATCATGATGAACCTGAGAGATTGGAGAGGTAATCATAAAACTGGAAGCTTAAGACTAACAATCAACAACCAAGAATCTATAAAATCTAAAACTTGTTTATATACCCTCTCATCATCCTCTTGACCATTGATGGCTGTTGAGGGGAGGTGTTAAAACTTGCATGAGGTCAAATCCAAAGGACGGATTAATGGATCTTTGTCTAACTAACAATGAGACCCTTGAGTGTAAATATAGAGGGCACATGCAAGTAAAAAATGACCCATTTGTGTGCTGGCTTTCATCCATAAGTTAAGCAAGCATCACACATATCTGTATTCTGATTAAATGAACAGTATTGACATTGTAGATGGCATAAAATAATGATTTGCATTTATTTTTTTTAATATTTTATTTATTTCATTTTATTTCATTTATTCAACAACAAGAAATATATATATATTGTATTTAGTTCTGCTCCCATTGGAGACTGATGACACAACCCCTACCCCTCCCATAGAGCTCTCTAACGCATATAGGAATATAATTTTTTGTGAATAAAGAATTTGTTTTGTGTAGGTGGAAACAATAGCTCTTTATTTTGCTCAAAGATAAAATAAAAAAGGAAACATGTGTAATTCTAGCAAGTAATGAGAAAAAGCATTGTCTTAATGTAAATGACACACCATTGCAATATAAAGTGTTTGGACACACTGATAAGTGCGCAATCTCATTCAAATCAAATTGTTTCTCTAAATCTCGAGTATACACAATTTGTATTATCCTACACTGTTCTTATACACACACATTTAATAATGAGCATTGCATAATGTTGCTTTCTTTAAAATAGCAATTTGTGTAACGTACATGTCTGCATTTCTCACATAAGATGATACTATGCATCCGTTTTTCAACAGGATATTAATGTTTGATCTATTATCACCCTAAAGCGTTTTCTACACCAAAAGGCATTCTAAAGCTCTGGACACTTGTATGTATAATTCCCCTCTTGTAATATCTATCTCTCTCTCTCTCTCTCTCTCTTTCCTCTCTCTCTTTCTCTTTCTCTTTCTCTCTGTCTGTCTTTCTCTTTCTCTCTTTCTTCTTCTCTCTATCTCCCTTTCTCTCTCCCTCTCTTCTTCTCTCTATCTCCCTTTCTCTCTACCTCGCTTTCCCTCAATATACCTCTCTTTATCCCTCCATATCTGCCTTTCTCTCCCCTTTCTCATTTTTACTCTCTTGTTCTTTACTCTTTTATTCCTCAATGTTGCTATTATCTCTTATATACCATTTCTCTCTCATTCAATTATAACCCCTATACCTTTAAATTTGATCTATTCATTTATTTTAATATGCTGTGAGCCTGTGATATCCACTGGATAATCAATCAATTACCTCTGAACAGTCCACTAAAAAAATGTGATGTTATGTTACTATGATAGCAGTTGAAAAATATACACTACTTGTACTAATAACATGGCACACAATATGGGCTTATATTTGATACAGAGTCTTTTCATGAAATAATTAATTTTCAAATCCAACAGTGACATTTTAAAAAAAGTAAATTGAGAGAATATATTATTTCAGCTTAGACATTTTTGCAGTCTTGTCAACAACATCCCGCATACAGAGAGGGCACACCCTTTTCTCTCTGCAGTTTTTTCCATCCTGCATCTTCTATATAATCTTGCTATCATCCAATGTATGTACAAATACATTCAAAATATTGATGAACACTGCAGATACTATGTCCATACACAACACATTTTACATGCTTTGCCAGTTGACTTAAGCAATTTAACCATGCAAACATTAATCAATCATTCCCAATAAGAATATCCTGTTCTGCCAGCCATCTCCAAGCCTACAAACACACTTTGACTTTACATGCAACACTACCAAAGAAATGAAAAAATTTGCCCCCAAGATATGGGGGCCCACAGTCAAAGCAGGGGCATTGTCAGACTCATCCGCGCCATTCTAAATCACCACTTACAGGATTGGCACCGTAGCAAGAATTTTATTGCAGATCGCGTTGGCATATTTTGTCCATAAAGAACTCATTTGTGGCTATTTTAATGATGTTGATGATATTCATGTATCTTTGGAGAGTCACTTGTTCCATATGTTTCCTCAGAAGATGAGGTACATTGCTCAGAAAAGGGGTTTAATCTGATCTTCTACAACTCATGTGAAGATTGCAAAACATATCTTCATTAGTATAATCTGTTACAAATATTGATTTATGTTTACTCTATAATCGTATTCCAACATATTCTAGTGAAGGATGATCTTCAAAGAAAAGTAGAAAGGAAAGAGAATTATAAAGAGAAGTGAGATGGTGATTAAAACGTCAAGGGTAGATAATAAGGAGGGTAAGATGCATATTTAACCTGCAAAGAATTCATTTGTAAGGTGTAGATGATACTATTGTATTTCAAGATTGTCACTTGTTCCGTTTGTTGTCCAGGAGAAAGGTCTATAAGGAGGGAAGAGAATACTTCCGAATTTCTAGAGCTTATATTTTAATCCTCCTTTTGGAAATGGGTCATGCAACATTTGGGAAAACACCATTGCGCAATGGGACATCAAGGTAAGATGTTGACAGTTCTTTTGTTTTTATCCAACCATTACATACATGTCTGTTTAGAGCCTGCCAGGAGTCATAGTATGTGATCAGGCTCTTCTGGCTCTCAGCAAATGATACCATTATATGTCTATAAGATATTGAACAGAAAACACAAGAGAACGTCTTTGTTATGGTGCCTGCAATACCCTTATCCAACTTATGTAATTGATAGAAGATTTGTTTTCTAAGTTTTGTAACCAGTCTATATCGCTTAGCCACCAGTATGGACCCCACTATGTTTCTGTTCAGAGCTACATGACTTGCACTGTGATGATCCTACATTTGTTTTGATGACATCTACTGTGAGTGTTAATTGTCAAAGTTATGGGATAATGGTTAGGGTTGTCACTATGTTTTAGATAAGGGTTAGAGTTTGGGTTTTGGTTAGGTATAGTTGTTTGTTCCAGGGTTGCAGTTAGGACTTTGGTCAGTGTGTGTGTAGAATACTGTAGAGCGGTTGCCCCTGCAGAACGTGACATACAACCCAGGCTATAGCCAATTAAGAGAAAGAGAGAGAGAGAGAGAGAGAGAGAAGGGGTAACATGGGCCCCATATTCCATTATTAGATGAGACTTAATTAATTGGCTTGCATCAGACGAAGCAAGCATGTACCATTGGACACCTGAGGCATACCAGACTAACTACTTCGGATTGCATTTTGACAGCTCCCAAGACCATACTGCTTTTAACAAAAATCAAGTTTTTTGAATACCAAAGGATGTATCCAACAAATGTACACAGACAGATTGTACTGATAAGAAACATCTTTTGGGGTTCAAAAATTTAGCATTTTCATCAAATTTTAACCAAAAAAACATCCAAGCTCCTGATTTTCAGCACTGCTTCTTTCCCCCTCCTTCCCATTTTTGTTAGTTTATTGTTTGTTTAATCATTTGCTTGTTTGGTTTCAGCCAAGTCTCCAAATTGCCTCTTTATCTCTTCACCAAATTGGAAAGAACTAAATTAGCATCTGAATAATTCAGAGTATAGAAAGACAAATTTTGGCACAATCCTATTGCCAATAGCTGTCTAGAATCAAACATGATACCTCTAACATATTCAATCAGAACTTCTACGAAAGCACAATGATCCATGACTTAAAGTAGGAGGGAGATATCTCCATACAATTTCCTTGATTCATTGCTTCTTCTCATATATCATTTTGATGATAAGCCTTGGTGCCTACGTCTTCAGGTTTGAAAGGAATATTTGATGAAGTGGAAAGAACAGGCAAAATCTGCAGGGCTTCTTTTCATAGCAGACACTTCGATTGTGAAAAGGCAATGCTTTGTATCAAAATAAAACAAACATAAAGAAGTAGATCAAGGATCAAAACCATACATAATTATATACAGCAACATAGTACCTTTTGAAGGTTGAATAGCCATTATACTACCATCTATTGAGTTCTAATAT